GAATACAGACAACACTGTATTTACATTAAATTGCACAGCATTATTTTACTGGTAAAAATAAATATTTTTGGAACATAGCCAAATTGTGGTACATACCACAATGCCCTGCCACATCCATTGAGGATTTCTACTTATGACCATTTTAATATTGTTCAAAATTCTATAACTGACCTATGTGGAAGAAATAAGTTACATTGGACAATGATTGCTGTGAGCCACAACAATTTTTAATATCCCAGTGTGACATTTTTACCATAGGACTAACTTACAGTTTTGGTTTGGAACATTCTGAAGTAGAAGAGGAAGGCCATTTTAAAAGAGCATTGTAACTTGGAGTGAATATTCAAAACTAGCATTTTTAGGACACCGTTGGATTTTATCAGACTTTATACAGATTTTATCAGACTAATAAAAATGTTTGAACTGAGTTGGTAACTAGAGTTGTATGTTTTTTCAGCACAGGGGGCAGATAAGGTAATGTTGATATAGTGCAGTTCAGGTAATAGGAATTTATTTTCATAACAAGTGTTTCCGTTTCTGAAAGGTATGTATGTCAGTTGTAAGACAGTCGTGGAATAACACCATTTCATCCTTGTTTTGTAATGCTACCATACTGCTTGTTCACCTAACTTCTAGTGAAGATAAATAGGGGTTTAGGTTTGTTTATTTTTTTCTACTCAGCATGAGTTAAGTGTTTGTATTTGGATTGCGTTCTCTTGAAAATACCTGGATGAAAAGACTTTGGCTGATGGAAGAACCTAAGGACACTTCCTCTAAATCCCTCTGTGCGGGAAGCTCCTGGCATAACCCAAGAGTTAGTCAAGTGCTTTTTAAAAGGGATGGAATTGGCTTGCAAATCCATTCAGTCTATTAGAGGTTTTTCTCTCTCAGACAATGTAATTCCTTGAGTCTGAAATAGAGTCTTAACATAAGGAACATATTGGATACAGTATTGACTCCACAAATTCAAACAGTGGTGACAAAGGAAAAATGTTCAGGATACAAAGGAGAACATGCAGCACACTGAAAAACACTTGTGGATTCAGGCAGAAGGTAAAATGTGCCACAGTCACAAGCTAGAAACAGTGTTGAAATTGGGTTTTTCATTAATTACCTGATATTGTTACTTTAGGTGTCGTTTACTCAGTGTTATGTGTATGTGACTGTACAGAATATGTGTAATTGTTTATCAGGTTGTATTTTGGTATACAGTTGACTGAAATGTTCTGGTTTGGGTGTCCATTATTAGGCACCTGAATAAGTAATAGACCTTTGAGTAAACTATTTGACTACAACTGCCATTGTAGTCAAATGCTGGTTAAGCTTCAGAAATTGCAGCATAGGTAGGGGAAGTTTCAGAAGTTCATGCTGCTTCTTCAAGGGTCCAAAGCTGCCTAATCTTTAATTTGTGGCTATTTGCAATACAAGAGGGTTTTTAATGATACTAGATACATTTTCATTTTCAGCTGACAAGTTATTTAAACTTTGTAACCTGTACACATCATACAGTTATATTATTCAAAAAAATTCATTATCACTATAACTTTTGTGAAGACAAACTGTGTTCTAAAAGTATCATAATTCAAAAATTCAAATTGAAGTGCGTTCTGCATTTGTTTTTGAAGTGCTTCCAGATTGCTCAATGCAGTCAGCTGAGCTCAGTAAAAATAAACTGTATCTTTACACGTGGAGCAGCAGTGACACTTAGCAAAATCATGTAGACTTTTGGCTTTATTTGAATTTCAACTGGAAATATTTCCAGTTGGATAGATAAAAACCCATTTTGAATTTATTCATTTAAACATTTCTCAGATAATATAATTTTCATTCATACTGAAGGATTTATTTTTGTTCTGAATCATTTTATTCAAAACCTTCTGAACCAGCATGCTTATGGCAATATTCTGTGCAAACATCATGTTACAGTGCAGTTGTGAATTACTGATATACAAACATTCTCTTAATTATAATAATTTGGTCTGTTTTTGTAGGGAGGCCTTGTTGGGCTTGTAGATTATCCTGATGATGATGAAGAGGATGATGAAGATGAAGATAAAGAGGAAACTTTACCTTTGTCAAAGAAAGCAAAGCTTGAGTCATCATAATGGCAACTGCTGAAGAACATTACCAGTTGGGGAAGGATTTTTTGTCCAAAAACAAAACATACCCACAGCAAAGCAGCAATCTTTTGTGAATTACTGTGTATGACACAGATCAACCTATACAAATGGATTTCTGCCAATCAAGTGCCAATTCAAAGGAGCAGAAGAAGGAGAAATACTTCATTTAGGGGAAAGACTTATGCCTTTGAGCTCTCCAGCTTGGACCACATGTTGCCCTTTTCTCAGGGAAGGAAATGGAAAACAAAACAAACAAAAAAAACCAACAAAAAACAAACAAACAAACAAAAAGCCAACAGGGCAGGAGTTTTGTTAGTGGAACTCTGGATTGGCTGGTCAGTTGCTACAATCAGAATATGCTTTCTTGGACCATGTATGAGACTTCTGAAGAAAAGGCAGGTTTTGCCATAATTCTTCACTAGTTAAGAATGCCAGCAGTTTCTTTGTATAAAAGAGACCTGCCTTTGAAATCGTACATTCTGAACATTTTACTCGAGCTACAACAGGTTTTAAAAACCTCTGTGGGGGAGGGCCGAATATAAAGTTTCCTCTTTTTTTTTAAATCTGTTCCCTTTGCCCTTTAAACTGCAGAATTTTTTTTTGAGGTGGGGGATTTGTTTGTCCCTTCTTGATTAAAGATTGAGTGGAATTCTAGATGTGGTCACTTTTGTGTCATAATTTTTTTTGCCCCCCTGAGTGTATGCTTAGTTGTTGAGTATATATTTGGGACCATTAAAATTTTTTGATGTAATATAATCTCACTGTTGTGCTGGTACCTGTTTCACACTGTGTAATTTTGTTCTGCATCACAGTTCTTAAGTTCTTAATATGTTGAGGATTTTATGGAAGATGGTATAGTTTTTATTGGAGAAAAAAATCTTGCAACAATGTGCATAAAAGCAATACTATTTTGTGACTAAATATTTTATATTAAATTTTACAGCAGCATCTGTTGAGAGCAAAATCAGGGAAATAGGATGAAATAAAAAAAAATTTAAACCTGTAGATAGGAAATTAGTACTCCAAAGAGACTGAAATTTCATAATGCAGAACAGTGATGGTAACTAACTCATCAAAATGCAAGATGGATGAATTAGGAATACCACTATACTGACTCATTTGACTTAGAAAAATAAAAAAGAAGTCATTAAAGCTGAAGGAAAATAGCATTAGTGGTATTTTTTAAAAATCTATGATCCCCTTTTGAATACCAGTTTTAGTGAATAAAAGATGGTTGTAGAATAAACTCTTCACGAGGACACCATCATTCAAAATTTATTCTAATACTCAGTTGAAAAACAGCAGTTAACTTGGTCTAAATCAATGACCATCTTCTTTCCCCTTTTCCCAAAAGTCTAAATAATACTAATTTGAAATAGGCATTATATCCTACTTCCTTACAGAGGATGGATTTGCACAGCAGTGCCTCCTATGAAGGGACATTTACTCAGTTCCTTTGCAAAAGAAAGACGTTTTCTTTCATCTGTTTTCAAGAGCTGATTTGTTTTTGGGCATTCAAAGCACCAGTGTTGCTGCAATCATGATATTTAATATGTAAATGTATCAATACAAGTAGAAATCAGAGAAATGAGAATCTGAGGCAGGATCACAGGTAATCACGCCCAAGGGTAGAGGAGCACTTTGTTTCTGAATGTTGTAGATGGCGTGGCAGGTTCTGTGCCAACCACAAAAGGCAAAGCTTCAGTGCTTGGGCTTTGTGAGTATATACCAGCCAGTTTGGATTTAAATAAAAGAATGCATTAGGGAGAAATTATTAGCCATCTTTTCCTCAAAGAGTTAATTTGTAATCACTTTCTAAGGGTGAATTTTTACAATGTATTTGAAATACATTGAACTGTATTTCAAATTGAACGCATGGATACTGTGATAGGGCAGTTCTCAGCAGTAAGTTTTACAGAGTTCAGGAGTTGTGTATGTGGTCACTACAGGATTAGACACAATCTGCTGCTGCAGGCTGAGTCCCCGTGCTGTTTCAACAAACTGTCCAAAACTTGATTTTTGCAACTTTGGTGTCAGAGCTGACATTGTGACAAGGAAATCTGCAATTTTGCAGGTTTTCTTAATTAGCCAGAACCTAAATCCAGCTCAGGCTGTCAAACTTTTCTTGACCATAAAGCTCTCAATATTCATCCTTAAACTCATCTGCAAGTCTTCCAGGCTCTATCTCAGGAAACCATTCTTCTGAGTTGGTCAAAGGAACACTTTTGTTAAAGATATTTTTCTGTTCCTTTAGCAATCAAGTGCTTGGATCTTGTTATGTTTGATGCTGCAGTCTTCCAGACTTTCAGATACTTTCATAATGCTTGTAGAAATCTTGGATTTTGAAGCATTGCATTTAACAGAGGAAATGTTATGCTGAAGTTATTTGGCTTGGTCAAAATAATAATGAAGAAGTTTTTGAAGTTTTTATATTTTTATGAAGCTCTAAAAGACTGGTAAAACATTAGGCTGTATGTCTTTTAGTGCTGTCTAACTTGTGGTTAGATAGTTATCTTCCCAGTTATCTAATGCTCGTAGCCTGACAGGATATGTCTGCACTGAGATAATATATTCATGGAAGTTGGAAGTAGATGAATGGTGGGTATACTCTTGCCCAGTGACATTCACTATGGTATTCATGGAAATCTTGAAGTGTATTTTAGGAAGAAAAAAAAATACTGGGGTTGTGAGAAGTGATGGGTAATTCTTTTTTTGAAAAGTGAGTTTGAGTTTGTAGGTGGAAAAAATGATGTTAGGAAATAGTGCTCTGTTCTAGATCTTTCTTTGGGCTGATTTTTTTAAAAACCATTTGTCCTCATCCCAAGAGAGCTGCATGTATAATGTACTAAGCATGGCTCAGTCATTCTAGTTGCATTTTAATTGTGCCCTGAAGTATAGTTTACAGGGCAAACCCTTCAGTGTTTACAGACAAGAGCCAGGGTGTTTGAATCATCCATACAGGCCCCTCTATTCCTTCAGTGGCTGAAAAACTTGATACGGATTCCTCAGATGAACTTCCAAGCTTTGAGCCTCAACTTGCTGGGAATACCAGACAGAATGTATGTGAACTACCTGGTCCCTCAAGGAACCCACACACTAATGAAAGTAACTCCTGGAGATCTGGAATATTTCCAGATTTTCTTCTAATGTGTGCAGAGTGTGACTGTATTTGGGTTAACAGTGCACATCACCACAAAGGAGATCTGTATCATGAAGGTGAAAGGACTAAAACCTGATGTATCTAAACAGTGAGTTGTCTCTAGAAGGTGCTCTCTGTGATGTGCCTGCTTGGCAACAAAGATCAGGCTATTCATTCACCTCTCGTAGCCCACCCAGGTGAGGCATCGTGTTCTCATGGAAAGAAGTGCCAAGTAGACCCAGTCCTTTTCATGTATTAAGGATGGAACTGTTCAGATCGGGTTTGCCTGTGATTTTACATCCCTGCAGAGATGTTTAATCGGAGAACTGACGGGGCTCTCTTCTCATGTTGCTGCTGTGGCACTATCAGACAAGCAGCTGCCTTTTTAACCCAGGACAATGAAGTTGGTTGCCTTGCTCAGTGGTGTTTCCTGGCACCTGTAGAGTGGCCACAGAAGTTCAGCCTTACCCCCTAAACCTTTTTACAGTTGCAGAGGCATGCTGGAGCAGTGCTGTCAATGCCAGAGCAGCACTGTAGTTCCCCTGCTTTGAGGACATCAACTCCCATTCCAGGTAAGTTGTGAAAGCAGGAGATGAGATGGGTCACCCACAGCCTATGTGTAAAATCAGGTAAGCATTCAAAGAAGAGAAGTTGCCACAACTGAAATTTTTATAGAGAAGTTGTCCATGTGCAAGATCTCCACCACTTTCTCTTTTTGGAGTCCAGAAGAAATGATGGAATATACAGCTCATAGTTCAGTTCAGAAAGGAGACAGGGCATATGGACATGCTGCAGATACAGGAAAACCTCCCTGTGGGAGGGCCTGTAATGCCCACCTTCTATCAGAGCCATAATTTAATGTCTTAAGTCATGTGAGGGAGGCATAACTTAATGTATTTTTGGGTTGTCTTGTACAGAGCCAGGAGCTGGACTCAACTCTTGTGGGTCCCTTCCAACTCATGATATTCTGTGGTTCTATTCTGTGGTTCTGTTCTATGATTTTCATCAGTGCCTGGCTACATGATGAGCTTGTAGATTTGATTTGATGTTGTTCTAGTTGCAACCACATTCACTCGAGTATGAATGTTGTGGGGGTTTAATAGAAATTACTAGAGCAATTGAAAGCTGAAATGAAACCCTGTGGACTGCTGGAAAAAAAGGTAATTAAAATAGGGAGGGGGAAGATGGCATCTTCTGTATGCCAGTTGTATTTATGGACAGTGTAAAAATAATATATAAACCAGTAGGTAATATTAAAAAAGCAGAATGCTACTGGCAAATAATTAAAATAGCCACTGATTTACAGTGACTTTAGATGTATATTGGTGGCTTTGCTGTGCACTGTAAAATATCCCAGGGATGTACAGTATCTGCCCTTGGTAGGTATCAGAGGTGGTGGTCCCAGCCCTGCTGCCATCTGTCTCCCTGGTTTTGTTAACTTCTCCCTGGAGTGTTTTCCTTCCATATGAATTTGCACGTCAACTCCAGCCAGCCTAAGTTTTCCCAAAGATGCTTATAAAACTTTTGTGTATGCTTGCCTGTTATTTTTACCTCACCCCCAGTGTCATCAATTTAGATATTGATACAATCTTGTATAACTAAAGTGTCAAAACAGCAGTCTGAAAACCTAAAATTCCCTGAAGTGCTGGACCTTCAAAATCACATTCTATTCTTCCAAGGACATTTGCTAGTTAAGATTGACAGGAAGCAATACTTACAATTTCAAATATTTTTCATATTAATAAAACAATCAAAATATGTTCTAGTTAATAAATTTTAGTTCATTCTATGCTTCCCTATTTTTCCTTTAAAGCAGTCAACAACAGTTCCTAGGGTGGTCCTACAGGTCCTTTTTCTTGTCTCATGATCCCCAGTTAACACTGCTGATGTAGTTCTTTTACCTTCCAACAGAGAAAGAAACTGAGAAACATACATGGCAATCTTCTGCCTGGGGTATGTTCCCTGCCCTGATCAGAACACAAGGTTTGGGCTAAGGTGCCCACTATAGTAACCACTATTCAGTAATCACCTTCTCGACAGACCAGGGCCTATTGTGTCTTTAAAACCTGCAAGACACCTTCCCCTTGCTGCTGCTCCAGAGGACGTTTTTCCTGATTTCCTGGACACAAAGTTTCCACCCTGCTGTGTCCCCTGAGCTCACTGTATTACATCACCAGGACCAGCCTTTGCTTCTAGCACCTCTTTAGGTTATGAATCTAACTAAAATTAATTTCTCTTCTTGCAGGCATTCCTCCACTGCTGTGTCATTTGTTGCATCTCTGAAGGGTTCAAGTCAAGGAGGTTTTATCACCATTTTGTGTTTGCCTGGGATGTTGAGTACTCCTCCTTTGCTGTCAAGTTCATGCAATGAGCCATAAACCGTTGGTGCCCCTTCATCTCCTCCCCATATCTTTTGCTTGTATTTTTATTGTTTGCCTTGTGTATTTCACTCTCTATTTATTTCCTATGGACTCAGAGGTTTATGAGATACTTACTCTGCCCAAACTCTCTCTCCTTGTATTTTAGATTCTACATTATGTTATCCTCTTCAGGAGCCTAAGGAGCTAGCTTAAATTTCAGCACTGAACAAACATGTGCCAAAAGTTAATTCTATTTTTTTTCTGGAAGTTTCTCTCTGAATGTTTCAGATACCAGCCGTAGATTGTAAATCACCGGCATCTGTCCCCACTCCCACCCTGTATTCAGATTGATCCAAGGCACATTAGCAAATACTTCGGGGGTTTTGTTTGTGTTTTGGTAGCACATACAGGTTTGTTTCTTTTTACTCTCATTCAAATTTCTTCACCACCTTTGTCTAAACAAGATGAACAATAATTAAAACAACATTTCAGAATCTAATCTTGTGAGGACCAAAGCTATCTTCTGACAACCTTATTTTTCTCCTGGCACCCATTGTTTACAGCTTCATGGTCTACTTAAAGCAAACTTGCTCCATAGCTGAGAAGTTGGTTGATGAACAGTCAAGTCATATTTACAAGAAAGCTGCTTAACAACAGTCCCAAGCAAAGGAGGAGAAAAAGCTCTTTCCTGATTACCATGAGTTTAACTCTCTTGTATTGTAACCCCATGAATTCTGTTATTCCCATCCCTCAGCAACTTACACTTCAGACAGCAGATGAATGGTGGAGCTTTGTTGATGGTTGTACTCGTTGCTAGGGGACAGTCTGAGCGGGGTGAATCATGCCATTTACAGTCAGCCTAAAGGAACATTTAGAAATGTTTGAGCTTAGAAAGTTCCTTCTGTAGTCTGTGTCGTTGAAAATCGAGTGCTTTGTGGCTGTGAAAACTGCTTTAGAAATAGGCATGATGATAACACACTGGTGTGTTTAGTAGCTTGTGCCTATGTAGATGTCCTAAATCACAGTTCTGGCGCTTCTTAATTCTTTGATAATTATGTTCTTAGTTAAAAGCTGACCATGTGAAATGGTATCAAAACAAAATTATTGCAAATCACATTACAAATTTTCATCCTTGATGTACTGAATCATGTAAGAAGCATGATTTCTAAATGTGATTGCTTGTGTATGTCTGGATCTGAACTTTCTTGGATATATTCGTTGGTACTTGTTTTATCTGATCTGGGAAGGCGGCAGCTTCAGGTACCATCAGAAAAGAGAACTTGATCTGTTGTTGGTAGGTGAGGTTTTACAAGATACATCTTCGGTGGAACACAAGGTGGGTGAATAAACGTGCTCTCGCTATAAATGCTAAGGCAGAGAACGCGGAGGACGCGCACACCCAGCTGGGGCTGACAGGTGTGACACAGAATTATCGAGGGGAAGCCCCTCCACACGCATTTTGGGGGCTCGTAGCCAGGGTATGTGTTCTGCCCAAGGCGGGCAGCCTGCCCTCCGCAACCCTGCGTCCAGGGCTGCTCTCGGCGGAGCTCCGGGCAAGCCTGGGCTTGATGCTGCCCGGGCAGCGGCGCTCTGCCGCCCGCAGCCTGAGCCCCGGGGCTCGGCGAGACTCGCGGCCGCTCAGCATCTCCCAGCGAGCGTCCCCGCGGCCCTTCGCAACACCGCATTCCCCTTGCCCCGAAGCATTTTATCAGCATTTTCCAGACTCCGTCAGCTCTCCCAGAGCATTTCAAAGCAAGTGAAGTGTTACTTCCCTCTGCCGCTCGGCT